TAGCAGGTCAGTGTTCACATTCTTTTCAGTCTGGAGGAAAAAGTCAATAGATTATAAGAGATAAGGCTCAAATAATTCTTCTGTGTCTTTATAACTTCAAAATGAATCCTCATGGAGAAGTGTCAGGAATGAGCCGTAAAAATTTATTAACAATTTTACTCTAAGGTACTTATTAAAAATTACCTCAAAATTCTTTAAAGTTTTTCTCCATAACATTGGGTCTGAAGGTTCTAGTTGAAACACCCGGAGCATAACAAATAACAGATGGATACAAAATGTTCCACGTCCACAGCTGCAGTTCTAGAGAGTTAAAAGAGAACTTATGGGTTAACAAATCTCTAGCTCTATTAGAATTCCTAAGATGATCACTTTTTTTTATATTTCCAAGTTTAACAAAGTTTCTATTTGCTTCATTATTCTTATGTAAGATATATAAGGATATGCAAGAAAAATCTATGTATGAACTAATCTCTTATTTTTGCTTAATTTATTAAATAGATCAAATCTGTATTCTCAAGTAGAAACCTTCACAAATACATTAAATAAAAATGTTTATCAGCCCAAAATATTTTTTAAACTCACTTTAGTTTACTGAAGAGAAATAAGTCATCTAAACTTAAGAAGAACAAATACTAATAAACTGTAGAATGGTGAAAGATCCTACCTGAGGCCCAATAAACACCCGGTATTTATTGTCTGGGCTGTCTCCTCCAATCAGGAAAGAGTTGGGTCCTATTTGTTGCAGTAAGTACAGCCTGGCCCGCATGACTTTGTTTACCCGGCGGTTTGTCTCCTCAGGGCTGTATGGTGAGAAGCCATCCGGGGAAGGGGCTCTTCTAGGTGGTGTGATTCTCCCGCTCTGAAACTTCACAACATTGTTTTTGTATTAGGTAAATTGCTTACTTCTTGATAAGAAACACTTACCTTAAAAAAAAAGGTCGTATCACATGGCCATGTGGCATTTTATATTCTGAAAAAATGCCCCCAAATATAATGGGACAAAATGCATATTGCAAATGCTTTTATTTGACATACTCATCACAAAGAAACTTCTAAAATCACAGTCATCCCTATAAATAATGATAAATATATGGCCAAGTGAGACAACCATGTGATAATTTTACAAATTGTAAATATTTTACTTCTTTGAAGAGTATTATGTAAACCAAGATGGAAAGCATAAAAATTCACTTAGAAGCAAGCACAATGACTTGTTTCTAGTGATAAAAATTAAATATCCCATTTCCTCACTTCCACTTAAGGTGTTACCAAATGCTCTTTTGCAAGAGCATATAAATGCTGCCATGCAATTCCTCCCATGGTGCAGTGTGTAGAGAACTAATGGCAAGTGACTTTCCCCAGATTAAGACATCTCACCAAAGGCTGATAAAACTTCTCCTGTGGTGAGGGTGACATATACCACTCTCATTCTACCTCACTGATTCCCCTAGAACTTGGTCTTTCCATCAGTGGTCAGTGGGAATTCTAATTCTTTTTGACACCTAATTTAATCGTTCAAGATAATAAATGTTGGTGAGAACACGAAGCATTAGAACCGTGCTGGTAGGGAAATAAAATGGTACAGCTCCTATGGAAAACATGACCCGGCAATTCCACTTCTAGGTATAAACCCAAGAGAAGTGAAAAGTTATGTCCACCCAAAGATTCATATACACATGTTCACAACAGCATTATATATAATAACCAAAGAGTGGAAATAACCCAAATGTCCATCAACTGATGAATGGTTAAGCCAAATGTGTATATCCACACAAAAGAATGTTATCTTCTATAACTTAAAAGTATAGTACTTCTGGGGTGCCTGGTGGCTCAGTTAAGCGTCTGACTCTTCATTTCAGCTCAGGTCATCATCTTGTAGTTCGTGAATTTGAGCCCTGTAACCACAGTGACAGTGTGGAGCCTGCTTGGGGTTCTCTCTCTTTCCTTCTCTCTCCGCCCTTTCCCAGCTCTTTCTTGCTCTTTCTCAAAATAAATAAACTTAAAAAAAAATGGAGTACTTTTAAACATAAAGAGAAGTGGGTGTATCAGAAATTAGTTTTGAATGTTAAACAACAACAAAGAGGAAGAATGATATGGCACAACTAATACTTTGTGTTAAAATATGAATGCACATGGCAAAAATTCACACACTGATAATTAAAAAAAATTTTTTTAATGTTTATTTATTTTTGAGAGTGGGAGCAGGGGAGGGCAAGAGTGAGTGGGGAATAGAGGATCTGAAGCAGGCTCCATGCTGCTGACAGCAGAGAGACCAATGTGGGGCCTGAACTCATGAATAGTGAGATCATGGCCTGAGCTGAAGTCGGATGCTTAACTGACTGAGCCACCCAGGTGCCCAATGCACACACTGATAAGTAAACACAGTTTGTGGGGGAAAACAAAACTAAAACAAAGAGAGTATGGATACAACTTATATGATGCTGTGTGAAAGAAGCCAGTCACAAAAGACCACATATACTGCATGACTCCATTTACTGTATATGTAATGACCAGAAAAGGCAAATTATATATAGAGTCAGAGTGTACATTAATGGTTGCCTAGGGCTGAGGATAGACTGCTCTTTGGTCTGGGGTTTCTGGGGTGATGAAAATGTTTTAAAGTTGACTGCTGTGATGGCTATAACTCTGAGTAGACCAAAACCAAGGAACTATATAACTTAAACAGGTAAACTGTACTGTATAGGAATTATATCTCAATACAGCCATTATTTTTTAATAGGCAGTTATTAAAAAAAAACACAAGTACACGTATACATGTTATGTGACCTAAGTATTCATACTATGGATTTGTTCACAGATGTGCAAAATGATGTATAACTAAAAAGTATGTTTGCATACTTTTTCTTAGTCATGAAAGTGAAGAAGGAATATAAATGCCCATTAGTATGAAGTTCATTAAACTATGATTTATCCAGATAATGAAATGCTAAGTTGCTGTTAAATGAGGGGTAACTTTGACATCTATCCTAAAGTGGGAGAGGGCAAGGAAAATGTAATTTGTATGTACTCGTGGTAGACTTTTACTTTGATGGCTCCTATGAACCACACTGCCCAGTACTTGCACCCTTGTGGAGTCCCCCACCACACTGATTCCGGGTTTGCAACTGGCATGTAACTACTTTTGGGCAATAAGGCATTAGGAAATAAGGCAGCTTTTTTTTTTTTTTTTAATAAATTTTTTTTTAATGTTTATTTATTTTTGAGACAGAGAGAGACAGAGCATGAACGGGGGAGGGGCAGAGAGAGAGGGAGACACAGAATCGGAAACAGGCTCCAGGCTCTGAGCCATCAGCCCAGAGCCTGATGCGGGGCTCGAACTCAGGGACCGCGAGATCGTGACCTGGCTGAAGTCGGACGCTTAACCGACTGCGCCACCCAGGCACCCCAGAGGCAGCTTTATAAGAACTTCCACACTGGACTTGCCCTCCTGATACACTTTTTTTTTGGCTTAACAGAAATTTGTTTCACAGTTTCAGAGGTTAGAAGTCCAAGAGCAGATGTCAGCAGGGTGGACTCCCTCTTAGGACTGTGAGAGAAAATATGTTTCATGTTCTCTCTTACCTTGCAACACTTGGTGTTATGCTGTGAGAACGAAAGAGGTGTCAGCAGCCCCCAACTGTTCTAGCATCCCAGCTGAAACACCAGATATGGGAGTAAGGAAGCATTTTGGATATTCTAACTTCCACAGATGTCATGAGGAACAGACAGAAGTCACTCTTGCTGAGCTCCACCTAATTTGCAGATTCATGATTGTTCTTATTTTAAGTTTTGTTTTTTTTTTAATAGCTCATTTAAAGGTGTGTCAACATAAAGCCAATAAATACTGGTAGGTATCTTGGGCTTTAATGTGAAAAGATTCACTTAAAATTTACTTCTGGAAGGATTTATATGCAAATCTCCCCTTGGTAGGCATGACCTTAATCATTCTACCATTCACTCATTTGCTCTTCAAGTTTAGAAAGTCAATTTTAACTTGCATTTTGCCACTAGAGGTCTCATTCTTTCATTTTCTCTCTGGAAGTTAGCACCTATCATTTTGTAAATCTCTTTGATGTCTGATTTAAAATAGAAGACAGCTGGATTCTCATTGATGCTTCTGCATTCAGTCTGCTGTGATACTATGTTCTGGTTAAAGTACATGAAGAAAATGTGGCTTTACAAATATATGTAGCTGGGAAAGGTATTGTAAAAGACAATAATTATGAACACTCTTTTTTGATACTACTCCAAAGAAGTGGTTTCTTAAAGGAGACTGATATGGAATCTGAAACCACACCAACAAACTTTTCCTACTGTTACACATTAAAATCCAGATGGTATATCTCACACAATTTGAACGGATCATTTACCTAAGGATGGTTTTGTTTCATCATGCACTGGTCATCGGGAAAATACTGGTTCACTAAGTTATGCAGATCTCTCAAATGTTCACACATTTCACTGTGCGATATATATGGAAAAAAAAAATCACAGTTGATAAAATCACTGATCTCATTAGAAAATTCTTTTAAGGATTGGGAAACTGTCAAGCTGACAGTGGTAGATAGTTTTCCAAAATTCTAATTTTTGCTTGAAATCTCAAATTTTACCACTGGTGAAAAAACATTTCCGTTGCCTTCCTTCAAGTTCCTTCCTTCACTTAACTAGTCTTAAGGAAAATGCCAAATACCCAAGTGAAGAATACATTTTCTATTGTCACAGTTTTAATTCAGGTGAATGCACCAGCAGCTTTACCCACCAATTTAAATGTTAATGCAGTGAAAGGGGCAAATAACATCTCAGTTTTATTACCGAATTTGCTTTGAATTAACGGATCCACAGAAAAGGTCCCAGGACCTTCCCTCTTCCCCCAACGTAGGGCTTGTGGAGCACACTTTGAGAAGTGCTGCTTTAACAGATGTCTAGCAATATTTTCTGTGTTACAGATGAACCTAAAAATTGTAGAAACTTAACATGCTTGTTGAAACATTAACTTACAGGTACGGGGGAGACTCTCTTTCTCCTTACTCCTGGAGATTCAGATTTCACTGTGCGGCCCGCCGGGGAGCTGCCAGGAGAAGGACTGCGGCGGCCCTTGGGAGCTGGTGAAGCGGTGCTTGCCTGGCTTTCTCCTGGAGACTCAGCTGCCAAGCTGTGAGTTTCAGAACCGTCTCCTTTAATAGGGATTGGTTTTACCACCTGAATTAAAATTCCAATATTCTCATTACTTAAAAATATAAAAAATAAGTAAATTTGAACACAACAGACTAAGAGATGAACTCGTTTTTCATCACACAATATTATACAAATATAACAGACAACATATCAACTTTTGTTTAGTCTTACTTCAAATGATATAAATGTAAGACTTTTTACCCACAGATTTCATTAACGTAGGCTTTATCATTAGTTAAAATGTTATTATGTAATTTTAGAAATTTAGCATTATCTGTTATTATGTGCCCTAAATCACTTAACATTAAAAATCAACAATCACAGGTTAGTAAACAAATGTGAAAAATAAGCACTTATACCTTCTACAGTTAACTTATTCAACTAGATTAAAGTAGATGTTTTTTCATTTCTATTGAGAAAATGCAGGATCTTGAAAACAATAATGGGAGTAATTTATGTGCCCGAATAGTCTAATCGATACAAAGCCATTTTGCCTTTTTTTTTTTTTTGCAATGTTATGTTACAATAGTTTAGACATATATTTCAGAATCACCAAAAGAAGCTAGATATTTAAAAGATCAACCTCTCAAGCACAAATGCAGGCTATAAAACCTGCTATTTCTCAACAGACCTAATCTAGCTATGACCAAAAGGCCATACACTGTAGCCTTAGCCAACCATCCCCACCTTCCTTTCACTACTCTTCTACTGTTCTACTAGCCAGCTGCTGTGCCTACCACACACGCCTAACCTGGCCTTGTCCTGCACTCTCACTCCCACTCTCCCTTCTAATCCACATCTCTAGCCTGCAGCATACCAGGTAGCATACCTTCACCTGGTGAAAACACCCATCTTTTAAGGCTCGGTTAAAATCCTACCTTTAACAAAAGTGCCCTTAACTCTGTCAGCCTGACATTTTTCTTCTAAGTCATCATTGCTTTCTGCCCACTCCACACATTTGGTGTATACTCACAAACTGTTCTGTGGTATTTCATGCCTTTATTTTTATTTATAAGTTGCATTTTCACTACTGGAGATATTTATACCTCACTTATATTTCAAGAAGGATCTGATGTAATTTATATAAGACACAATAAACACAATCAGATTTCCCAAGTAGACTATAAACTTCTTAAGGGTAATATGAAATCTGTAAACTGTAACATACAGTGTAGTATAATTGAGCTAAGGACTACGTGTCACATGTCTTACTCCACACATCTCTTCCCTCTTTAGCTCTGTCTTGTATTTAAGGATTTTCCAGAAAGGGGACAGTGAGAAAAACCAAAATTTCGTCTTAGAAAATGGAATGTCCTTAGTTTATATGTAATAAAGGATTGGCTTTATTGGCTTCTTTTTAAAAAGTTGTAATTTCTGCTTTATGGTATTCTCAAAAGATTTAGACTCTCCACTAGCACAAGGAGCTCCAGAAAGCAACACATTCAAATGGCTTTACCTACTCAAAAGTTCTTTGTAGTAACTGGGTAGAAATTTACTCCCTTCTATAAGTTATTTCAATAGAACTTTCGCTTTTCTAAGATAAATTCCTGATTTCTTCATCTTTATCCTCTGACATGATTACTAAAACAGTGAGGGGTTCTCGCCATACTACTTCCTATGAAAAACAAATGGAAGAGATGTGGAAGCTCAGCTGGAAAGGAAAGGACTCATGAGTAACACAGCTTAAAAAGCTGGTAGATAAAGGAACAATTAAATATATTCTATATTGGCTCCATGGGTAAACACCAGTAGGTAGAACATGCAAGACAACACAATGATGAGGGATGTCTATGTGGCTATCAAGCACTTGAAATATGGCTATGTGGCTGAGGAACTAAATTTTTACTTTATTTACATTTAATTAATTTCAATTTGAACTTAAATAGGCAAGTGGGATGAATGGAGAGCTAGCTGGTCATTTGGCAAGGGTAAAGGTCAAGGGTTTCAAATGTCAGGTGAGTAGCTTGCCCAATAACTTTTATGATTATGCCCACCATTACCCCAAACCTAATCAATCTTAACTTATCTTTGTTTATAAAGGACAAAAAACTTGCCGATACAAGCTGATACGGGATCACTTAACAATTGAGGTCTACCTCCTTTGTAAGAATGAGAAGCACATTTCATAGTATTTGTATACCTTAAAAGAGAATAACCACGGCAAAAGATGGGGTATGACGTTCTCTCCTAATCCTAGTAATCTAGGTTTCTTTCCTCAAACCCTGGGCATCTTTTAAATCTACCTCAACCTCTATGAGGCTATTCAGTTTTTGCTTTCCTGGATGATTTCTGGAACTCAGATCTTTGGATCCTATCTTAGAGAGAGAACATTAGAAAATTGCTTTTCTTTCTTAAAATACAGTATAAATCTCTACCAAAAGGATTTTAGACACTGACAGTAGGGGGCAGTGTTGCTTTAAGCATTAGCTACCCAATCCAACCAGTTCAGTTTCTAGAACAATTTAAGGTGCTTAATGAGCATAGTTTTAGCTATGTTTTATTCCAAGTGGCTAGAATGGTAAGCAAATCAAATAACTGCACTTAAAATCACGAAGAAAAAAAAAGCTTACAAGAGGATCTACTTATGCTTAATTTCCCATCTCTTCCTATGCTTTCTTCCTTATGGCAAGTAAACAGACACTTACCACAGGGCCCCTCCTATTTCTTCTCTCCAGCCACTCGTGTTTCCAGGCTGGCATACAGGTTGCCTTCAGTTTCTCCCTGATCATTCGTTCTTCTGGGCGATCGTCCATCTTATGCAACCCCTTGAGAGTTTCTTTATTCTCCATCTCGCGACTAAAATGGAGGGAGCAATAAGAAGGACATTAGTATATAAAAAATTTCCAAGAATAAATAGTATTTTCTATTTTCAGTGGACATGTAACTAAAAAGGTAACTCCTAAAACCTCAAACGATTTAAGCCAAGTATGAAAGAAAGTGTCACTGTGAATCGTATATACTCTGTTTTTCAATGTTGTATGGTAATGTGAGTGTAATAATGCCTTTAAAAAGAAAAGTTCTATTTAGAAGGTGCAGGCTTACTAATACTACTAACACAGACCTTTGTTTACAGGTAGTTAACAAAATGGATCCCAAGACATTAAGTACTGCATTAAGAAACACATTCATGAAGACTGCACTGCTTCCATTTATACCACTCTCACATACTTGAAGTATTTAACAAATATTTAGAAGAGCATTTTACTACTCTAGGATTTCCAATAATTTAAGGATTTCCAATAATTTAAGTAAATATAGATAGAATCTGGTGGATATTCTCATTTTCCGAAAAAAGCTAAATCAATATTTAATAAGCTAAGTGAAACCTAACCACATCTTCTATGATCTCACAATATTTGTTCAAAGCCTAAATGATTAGATTTGTATTCTTGTAACATTATTTCCACATCAAAGTATTGGGGACACTCCATATATAAAATGTAAAAATTGGCAGAAACATGTGACCTTTACTCCATAATATACTGTGGAGTTATCAGAATAAAATAATCTGTAAGCTAGTAATTTTTTAAAATTAATCCTAAAAGCCTCCTAAAATTATTTAGCCTTTAGTAGGTAAAGCATCCACTAATTTCAAATACACTTATATCCACATGCAGATATACACAACAGATACAATATACATATGCATGGATTTTAAAACCTGATTCATAAGGAAACAGTTAAAGCATTTGCACTCTGGGAGAAGTAACAATTTAAAAAATACTAATAAGCTAAGTTCAATAACTATTTTGGAAATTCTATAAAGCTACAAAACTGATTTTTCTACATAGATAGGAAAAGGAAATACTCAAGGAAATACCAGGGATGATAACTGCAAGCTTACTAAAAAGTGAAATGCAAACTCCTCTAGGAATTTTCCAGATAATTACAACCACAGAGCAGCAGTATCTTCAGAGAACCACCAAAACTTAAAACTAAATATGCACTAGAAAGTAAATGGTTAACTGGTTTTCCTAAAGCATCAATTCTGGAGGGGAGTGAAAATCAACAAGTTAAACATCCCTGTGCAGAGATTGGTCTAGAGAGTTTTAGGAATGCAAAGAGTACAAAACATTTGAAAACTTGCAAATCGGCATTAAGAGCATGTAGTAGAGTATTTCCATCACATGGTATAAAAAATCTGTCAAAAAAAAAAAAAAAAAAAAAAAAAAGAGGCTACCTGAGAAGAAAAAAGGCAAAGGAAGGAAGGAAGGAAAGGAAGGAGATTCTTTTATTTACTTAGAAGTGCCTGGCTGTTTTTCCTGCTCTGATTATAGTATAAACTATAACTTTTGGGGTATATAAGAGAAGACTAGAGAAGGAGGGAGGAGAGGGAAAGGAAGAGAGGAAAGAAAGGGAAGGAACAAGAAAGAAGAAAAGGAGAGGAGAGTGAGAGAGTAGGGGGTGGGGAGGGCTAAGGGAAGGAAAAGGCAGGGATAGAGAAACGTTTTCACAAAATTTCATCCTGTTCAGTTACTACTTACCCAGGGAAGCTCAGATTTACAGGCAACTGAATTTATGGGCTGACTGCATACCAAAAATTCACTTACAATTCTCTAGTTTGAAAAGCAAACACTTTCCCCTCCAGTAACAACGTTGCAAGGCGTGGCTAGGTTCCCAGGCTAGTTCTCAAAAAATAAGTCACATGGCAGAACTGCAGTACATTTTACACCAGAAGCTCCTGCACTCCCAGACAAGAGAGCTTATCTTCCCTTTGGTCCTAAATATCTCTCCTCCCCCACATTTGTTTTAGGAGTATCTCTTCTCCATTCTGTATTTTCAGTGTCTCTCTCCCAGGAACCCACCAGAAGACTCTCCCTGTCTAAACACCTCTTCCTGGAAGATGTGGCCTCCTTAAAGTTGGCATGAGTTGCCTCTTTCCTTTTTGCTTGTTTGAAAATACTGTAATTATTTACTTTTTTTTTTTTTAACACTGCTGTTTTTGGGTTTTTTTTCAACGTTTATTTATTTTGGGGACA